GAGACAGTTTTACCTGCAAGAAATCTTGAACTACCTGATCAATCCTGTTATGATAATAATTACAAGGCAACACTACTGATGCAATATAAATGGCTATTTTTTTCAAACCCACTTTCTCATGTTTACCTCAGTCATACTACTGAGTTAGGAGCTTACTCCACTTAAAAGTGCAATATTTGATGTACTGTACAGCAAAATACAGACAAAGTAAAACAATTACTACATGGGATAAATATTTTGTATTAATGTTGAGTTAATAAGATTGAGAATTATTCAAAACTTGGATACGTGAATATAAAAACCTTACATGACGTTTGTGTAAAAAACCAAAAATTAACAACTGAAATCCCCTTTTAGGGATCATTAAAGAACAGAACTTTGCTTAAAGAATAGTCTCTAAACTTTGCTTAAACTGCAAAACATTGTAAACATGCATATGTTATACAACTTTCAAGCCTTCATACTTACATTACTGAAAGAATACATATCTGTAATGTTGGTGCCATATCTTTGGAAAGTTCAACAGCAACATATACATCAACCTTTTGACTAGCTCAGTGCTAAATCAAGAAAACAGTTATAGACTTACTTCCCTTTTCTTACTGAAAGAGAGCATTAAACTTATATTAAGTAGATACAAGAGAAAAAAAAATCACAAAACCACATGGTTCGTTTTGAAAACTCAGTTGTTCTGCTAACGCTGGTAAATCAATTAACTCCTGTAGCAATCCTGTTGCCTGCACACAGTCAACCCTTCCTCTCACTTATGTGCTCCTTACATACAACTGAAACCGAGAATGAATGCCGAAGGAGGAACCATGTCCGAACAACATCTCATAGAAATAATTCAAAACCATTTTCTAAATTACCAGAATAATGACAGCAAATCAGACTTGTTGACGCATTTTATTGTGAGATGGGGAGTCTGGTAAAAAACTAGAAAATGACCATGATGTAACAAGGAACTTAAAAATGAAGTTTCAGATTTGTAACATACATACATGAATACAGGAACAAATTGGCACAAAAATGTTAAACATTGTTCCCAACACTGTTTATAAGATTATTCTAATTTGGCTTACTAAGGAAATGAGAGTTTATGGTTAGACTAATCTCTTAATAAAACTGCAGAGCATCATGCTATTAGTCACACGGTGAATTTCAAAATTTAAGAGCTTTATATTAAAAACTGGGTAAAGGTAAAATGAATTGATTGCAATTGTAAAATTAATACATTCCCATTTTAATTCTTCTGTTCTACAGTCCAAGGCAAGTATAAATGTTAACATAACACTGTTAAATCAAATCTCAATGCAAGAGAACCGATTGCATCTCTACTTTAAATCTTATCAACTTTCCAAATTTTCATACTAAAATATATTATTGTATTAATACAAACTACAGTATTATACACTACACTGTGTAATAAATAAAGAAATATAAAAATAAGACACATAAATATAAAAGTTTTCTAAAACTAAAAAGGTACATATGTCAGTAAGAAGGGTATTAATACTGCCAGGTTTGAAGACATACAGTACAAAATGTTGCACAGATCTATAAACTAAAAGAAATAAAATAATACTGATAGGTAAAAATCAGCTAACATTGTTAATAAATGGGGTCCATAATAACTAACATTTGAAAATACTTATGAGCCAGATAACATGTCATGTATGTGTCTGAAATTAAAGTAAACCAATAAAGCAATAAAGCAGATTAGAAAATTTCCCTTGTAATTATTGTAGAGAAATTCTGCAAGTCAGGTATTAACCCAAAACACCACCAAATAATTAAATAATGAAATATACCAGTGTTCTTCCTTCTCTGATGGCTGAGTGTTTTTTTCCCCATGATTAGTTTCGAAGTTTGATACAAATCAACAAATGCTAGTTATTGTAGGCCACACATTGGATAAAGGCTGCTCAGAGCCTTTATAATACTGATAAATGGCACTTACAGCACACAGGTCTTGCATAAGGCCAAAGGAGATACAAAGCTTCATATCATATCCTTCATATTGTTACTACATACTCCAAACACAATTACAAACACTGATATTGACGACTTTGCTGTCCTTACCAGTATTAACACTGTTAGTCCCTGCAATCAGAACTCAACGACAATCTTCTCAACTACATTTTTAATCACATGAGTAAGAAACTTCAGTTCTTCTATCATCTGCTTTCTTAAGGCTAACAATACACTTTAAATGATAGTATGCTCTACTACAACATCTAATGTCATAAACTGCTACCTTCTAGGTTGAATTTACAAAGGTAGCCAAGCGCTGTTTGCAACTGCATTACAGGTTTCTGCAAAAGGGAATTTTGTAGTGCAGAAGTTCTCACATTTTAAAACAAAAGAAAATACTGAAGTGGATTTAGGAAATGTTTTACCATTAAAAAAAAATAATCATATAAATCTCTCCCAATTGTACAGCTTGAAAATTAATCAACTTAAGAATGAAAATTAATACTGATAAAACAAACAATGCCAGATGCTTGTCTAATAAATCAGGTTTCCTATAACCTGTTAAATCTTTGCTTCCAGAGTCACTGTATTTTTCTAATCTGCTTCATGTTATAAACTTGTTCCTAGCTTTGAAAACTGTGTGAAAAATTACTAAGTTTGAGGTTCAGGCACACCTGGATTTCTTTTTTTTTTCTTTTACTTTTTTTATATATATATTTTTTACACAGTAGTGAACAGAAATCACAGTATGCAGGCTACTGCGTTTCCATGAAAAGCATGTATAATATAGAACGAACTTCATTACCAATCTTTTTTTCCTTATAGAAAAAACTATCATTTAAGCTTTATTCGTTTCTTTCTTCCGACACCTGCCCATTATTCTGTATAACTTCTGGTTCTGCACTGCTTGCTTGACTTACAGCTTCATTGTTCTTGTTACCTTCAGTTTTCCCTTCTTCTTCTTCTTCTTCTTCATCATCATCATCATCCTCTACTTCTTGTAGTTTCCTACATTCTTTTTCTTCCTGAAGTCCTTCTATCTCTTTTTCTTCCTCCTCCTCTTCCTCTTTTTCACTGTCTTCCTCTTCTTCCCTGGTTAGACTCTCTCTCTCATCCGAGTCGATCTGTGACGGAGATGCCCTGGCACCAGCATGCTCGTTACTGAGGACCTCCTGGCCTGCCTCCTCCTGCTCCGTGCTGTCACGCTCTTCTGTCTCTCTTTTGCAGTAGGAGTAGCGATGATTCATGTGTTGGGAGTAAGACCCTGAGTGTGAAAACCGCTTTCCACACTTGTCACATTGGTAGGGTTTTTCCCCAGAATGCAGTCGCATGTGTTCAATCAAATGGTGTTTGTGTTTAAACGCTTTTTTACAGATTCCACACTCGTGAGGTCTTTTACCTACAAAATAAAGCACAAACAGTTGGACATCTTGTAGCTGAAGTTTTAAAAGTGTATACTGTTGTCTTCATCGTAAAATACTGCGGTTACCAACAGTTGATAATTTTATTTGACAAGACATTCTACTTCATATATTCTCAGCCTGAGTTTCTCACCTGAACCCAAAGGGTGCAACACTACTCTGTCACAATTACAAGGGCAATTTCTAAGTTCCTTAGGAAAACTGAACGTAGAAGGACAAACAGATTCTCAGACCTCACTTTCAGCACAAAAAAAGTGCAAATTTAAGTAAATTAGCAAAGGAGACATTTTTCTCGTAGTAAACATTATTTCAACTCAAAACCATTTTAATTTTTCTGTATTGGTGGAAATTCTAAATCTACTAAACTTTTATGTTGTTTTTGTGTACCAAGTTCTTCTTCCATGACATAGGTAAAAGGAAAATCAATCTAAAATTTAGGTTGGCACAGGTAAGTGCCTCACGTACAGAACTTGCTGACTAAACATATATTAACAAGAAATATCTGCTTTGTTTCACTTGTTTCTCTTTCTGCCCTGTTTTCAGCTTTCTACTTTGTTGCCTTGTTTTTAGAGTCTCTCATAAACACAGCATGAGCCTAGCAATGTTATTTTGATTTCAGTACTCCAAGCTGTTACACAAAACAACTTTGCACGGTCTCAGCCCAGACATAAAAAATACAGGCAATAAGACAGCAGTTTTCTGGTCACGCTACGCAGATGATCAGCACCTCCGTGTCAACTTCTGTCAAACAAGCAGCGAGGTGGGTGTCAGTCTCTTTTCCCAGGTAACAAGTGATAGGACGAGAGGAAACAGCCTTAAGTTGCGCCAGGGAAGGTTTAGATGGGATATCAAGAAACATTTTTTCATTGAAAGGGTTATCAAGCATTGGAACAGGCTGCCCAGGGAGGTGGTTGAGTCACCATCCCTGGAGCTATTTAATAGACCTGGAGATACAGTGCTCAGGGACGTGGTTTAGTGGTGGGCCTTTTTGCAACCTAAATGATTCCGTGATTCTGAACACTGCATATAATTTAAAAGTAGAATGGAAAGAACAACTGTGTTACAAAAAGGAGAAGTTAAAAGAGTCTCAGGACAGGAAAAACATGAAAATAGATGTCTTAACAAACACAATTTGAGAAACTTGATCAAGTGGCAATGACAGAAGGGAATTTTTCATCTTTTTAATTCTGTGAGATGAAATCAAAACATTAATATGCAGAAATATAATATAGGCAGCTAACCAATAAAAAAAAAATTTTAAGCCATCACAGAAGAAATAAGAGAGCAATAATTACTAAAAAAAAGACTAAAGATACCAGAACTGGAGCCAAGAGGAACAACTATGAGAAATCAGAAACAAAAATCAAAGCCAATAAGATGCTCTTTTGGGGTTATATTATGTGTAATGAATGGCTGTTAACTTCAGATAATTACAAATGTGGCTCAATTTGAAAATCCTTCATGCTAGATAGTTTACACTAAAGGCAGTGTATCTATCATACACATACACGATCCTACTTTCTTAATTTATCATTTTAATTTTGAAATTTTCTTAATTTATAACCAGGGAAGGTAAATTAGAATACATCCTTCATTATTTAAGCTTTATTCGTTTCTTTCTTCCGACACCTGCCCATTATTCTGTATAACTTCTGGTTCTGCACTGCTTGCTTGACTTACAGCTTCATTGTTCTTGTTACCTTCAGTTTTCCCTTCTTCTTCTTCTTCTTCTTCTTCTTCATCATCATCATCATCCTCTACTTCTTGTAGTTTCCTACATTCTTTTTCTTCCTGAAGTCCTTCTATCTCTTTTTCTTCCTCCTCCTCTTCCTCTTTTTCACTGTCTTCCTCTTCTTCCCTGGTTAGACTCTCTCTCTCATCCGAGTCGATCTGTGACGGAGATGCCCTGGCACCAGCATGCTCGTTACTGAGGACCTCCTGGCCTGCCTCCTCCTGCTCCGTGCTGTCACGCTCTTCTGTCTCTCTTTTGCAGTAGGAGTAGCGATGATTCATGTGTTGGGAGTAAGACCCTGAGTGTGAAAACCGCTTTCCACACTTGTCACATTGGTAGGGTTTTTCCCCAGAATGCAGTCGCATGTGTTCAATCAAATGGTGTTTGTGTTTAAACGCTTTTTTACAGATTCCACACTCGTGAGGTCTTTTACCTACAAAATAAAGCACAAACAGTTGGACATCTTGTAGCTGAAGTTTTAAAAGTGTATACTGTTGTCTTCATCGTAAAATACTGCGGTTACCAACAGTTGATAATTTTATTTGACAAGACATTCTACTTCATATATTCTCAGCCTGAGTTTCTCACCTGAACCCAAAGGGTGCAACACTACTCTGTCACAATTACAAGGGCAATTTCTAAGTTCCTTAGGAAAACTGAACGTAGAAGGACAAACAGATTCTCAGACCTCACTTTCAGCACAAAAAAAGTGCAAATTTAAGTAAATTAGCAAAGGAGACATTTTTCTCGTAGTAAACATTATTTCAACTCAAAACCATTTTAATTTTTCTGTATTGGTGGAAATTCTAAATCTACTAAACTTTTATGTTGTTTTTGTGTACCAAGTTCTTCTTCCATGACATAGGTAAAAGGAAAATCAATCTAAAATTTAGGTTGGCACAGGTAAGTGCCTCACGTACAGAACTTGCTGACTAAACATATATTAACAAGAAATATCTGCTTTGTTTCACTTGTTTCTCTTTCTGCCCTGTTTTCAGCTTTCTACTTTGTTGCCTTGTTTTTAGAGTCTCTCATAAACACAGCATGAGCCTAGCAATGTTATTTTGATTTCAGTACTCCAAGCTGTTACACAAAACAACTTTGCACGGTCTCAGCCCAGACATAAAAAATACAGGCAATAAGACAGCAGTTTTCTGGTCACGCTACGCAGATGATCAGCACCTCCGTGTCAACTTCTGTCAAACAAGCAGCGAGGTGGGTGTCAGTCTCTTTTCCCAGGTAACAAGTGATAGGACGAGAGGAAACAGCCTTAAGTTGCGCCAGGGAAGGTTTAGATGGGATATCAAGAAACATTTTTTCATTGAAAGGGTTATCAAGCATTGGAACAGGCTGCCCAGGGAGGTGGTTGAGTCACCATCCCTGGAGCTATTTAATAGACCTGGAGATACAGTGCTCAGGGACGTGGTTTAGTGGTGGGCCTTTTTGCAACCTAAATGATTCCGTGATTCTGAACACTGCATATAATTTAAAAGTAGAATGGAAAGAACAACTGTGTTACAAAAAGGAGCAGTTAAAAGAGTCTCAGGACAGGAAAAACATGAAAATAGATGTCTTAACAAAATAATATAGGCATCTAACCAATAAAAAAAAAATTTTAAGCCATCACAGAAGAAATAAGAGAGCAATAATTACTAAAAAAAAGACTAAAGATACCAGAACTGGAGCCAAGAGGAACAACTATGAGAAATCAGAAACAAAAATCAAAGCCAATAAGATGCTCTTTTGGGGTTATATTATGTGTAATGAATGGCTGTTAACTTCAGATAATTACAAATGTGGCTCAATTTGAAAATCCTTCATGCTAGATAGTTTACACTAAAGGCAGTGTATCTATCATACACATACACGATCCTACTTTCTTAATTTATCATTTTAATTTTGAAATTTTCTTAATTTATAACCAGGGAAGGTAAATTAGAATACATCCTTCATTACAGGCTGTGGCTTGCAGATGATTGTCTCTGAGCCACAAGAAGACCCCCCCCCCCCTTTTTCTATTCAGGGTTTAGGTTTTACAGATTTAAAGAAACATAGAATTGTAGCTCTGTCAAACAAATATACAAAACATAGGTTTCTAAAGAGACTGAGCACAGACAATAAGAAGGACTATTACACTTCCTTACACTTTCTGAGAACTGGATTCCAGTTGAGATTACCAGTTACATACTGCCAATGAAATCATGATCTGAAACTGCTTTTCCTAGTACATACCTGTGTGTTCATACTTGTGTCTCAATAACGAGCTGCTCTTCTGGAATATTTTGTCACATAAATCACATGCATACATCCCATTTTCTGTCTTTCTCATCTTTTTCTTTGGAGGTGTTGAATCAGAATCATTTTGATCTTCTACATTCGATACGCCTTCTGAGCTAGTGTCTTGCCTTTCATCCTTAAGAAAAATTACAAAAAAGGCTGAGTTCAATAAAAAAATGCACCGATGCAGCACATCATTTCTAAAGTGTAAGCTGAAGCTGCACTGTTATTTTCATTCAATTCCATAAACAGTCAAATAAAATTGTTGAGACTTAAGAGAGCCAAAAAAATCTTTCACTGCATCGCTCTGCTTTGCAGTCCCTGCCACCACACAGCTGCACGGTCCTCACCGGGACTGACTTTATAATCACATCCCAGTTGCACTGTTGGCCAAGTCTAAGATACACTGGCACATCATGTTTTAGGGCCCGTAAAATAAACGCAATGTTAGGAAGGAAAAGAAAATAACAGACCTACAAAGTACCTCAGTAAGTTGGAAAGGCAAATTTGACACCTTAACTGCTTTTTTTCAACTAATGTCTGTCACGCACATTTTGCTACCTCATGGATTTTATGGAAGTTAACACCGTATTTTCTGATGAAATTTTCACAAAAAACTATTTAAGTTAGCATCTGAATTTGCATATCTGACTACCCTCTTCCTCCTAAAACAACCACAAATACTACCTAACCCAAAACTGGGGGGATTTCAAATGTTTTATTCGTAAAAAGTTTTTTAAAGTCATAACTGTAGTCTATTTCTAAGCATTCCAAGCCCTGAAGCTCACCTGTAAGAAGCACAGTATCTTCTACCGATACCGGCAGTATCACTACATGCAGAATTACTTTTATCGTATATCATCAAATCAGAATATAAAAACGTATGTATTAGCTACCTCAAATGCTGTCTGTCTCATGAACTTTAACTCATAAGCAACCTTGTAACTCCTCAAGGCTCCTCAGTCTCTGGCTACACAGAAGCCTGCATAACAAGCTGAGCAGCCAGTTTCTAAGATTTAAATAGAAACACTCGGTCTTTATGCAAGCCACTTGTCTGCCGTGCTCTGCCCCTACCTCAGCGTGCACAGGTGTTTTCTCAGCAGGATGGACTCCGATTAGATCTCATCTGTATGTACCCAGGGAGCAACAGGGCAGGATACAGGAATGGCAGATGAAGATAAATACCTGCCCGAATTTCAACTGAGAATACATCTGCATTTTGTTTCAAGTGCCATTACGGCATAGGATGAATTCAGCTACTCCCCAAGCCAAGAAAGCAGAGCAGCATGAAGGGGGTAGCCAAAATTCCAAACAGTTTATTTTCTGGATGTGGGGAAAGAGGAGGTACAGAGCCAGCAAGGAACACAAGCCATGGCCTTATTCTGTTTTCTGATCAGGAGAATTAAACTGTCTTTAAAATACTGAGCACTAACGTCCTAGAAGACACTTCTGAATGACCGAACATAGTGAAGAACTGACTTGTCCACACACAGAACTATATAATTTCTGTCAGTCTGGACTCGGGCTGCCTGAGCTAGCTAGCTTTGCAGAGGAGTTAACATAACATCTAGTACCCATTAACAATCAAGCCAAATAAATCCGATAATTTATATTTACATTTTATTTAATTTATCTTGACATTTTTCTGCTAGTTCAGCATGGATACAGAATGAGTATGTCGTACACAACATACAGGAATACAGGGACCGAAGTACCTGATTTCCGTTGGCCTGCGTCTGTTTCGGTGGTGTTTCTTGTACTGCAGGACTAACTGTAGCAGAGTATGTATAAGCCACCTGTGGAATCAAAATGGTTTGCTTATTGGCAGCGAGAGCTCTCAAGCATGGAACACTGTTCTGGTCAGCAATGGCAACAATTGTAGGTAACTGGGCAGTGACTGTAGGTATAGCAATATTTATGGGATTGGCACTTGGTGGGATTACATTTACAATAGGATCAGAGTCTGTAATACTGTTGTCCTTCTGCGGTTCTTTTTTTGCACAAGTTAAGTTCAAAGGTTCTTCTTGGACAGAATAAACACTATTCTGGTAAACACTAGTTATGGTAGATCTTTCCAATAGTTCTCCATGTTGCTTTGGTAGTGAAAGGTCAAGAGGTTCAATCTGTGGCTCTTCTTGTACACCCTCTACTGTGTACGTGTAACCCTGTGAATTTCTTGATGAAGAAAGGTTTAGTGGCGAAGGGGATGGCGTGCTACTGCGTGAACCATTCAGAGTTGATCCCCCTGGTAAAGTCTGAGATTTTGTTGTATTGACAGGATTTTGTGAACTATCTGTGCTGTTCTGGCGTTCGTTCACATTCGTAGTTGCTGCTTGATCATCATTATCTGTGGGACTGCTTAATTTAACTTGCTCAGGAGAAGATGGCCCAGAAGACTGCACAGATATCTGTCCAGCTTGCATTTTTTCAAACCACTTTTTTACCACATCCAGGGGTAGGTTTACTGAATCAGCTATTTTTGAAAGCTCTTCTGCGCTCGGTTGTGCATTTAATGCGTAATACGCTTTTAGGAGCGATAAAAGGTTCTTTAAAGGTGGCTGACCAGGAGATAAGTTGTTGTCCCCACTTTCTGATGGGACAGGGGAGTTGGGCTTCTCAGCTTCTGTTCCACTGGGCTGAGGAAGCTGAGGAGGATTTTTCGTTTCATAGTGCTTTAATTCTTGAAGTGCATTAAGATCCCCTGGACAATCATCACAAAGAAGACAAGTGCTATCGTTGGTCTCTCCTTCAAAGTTCTTATCTTTCTCAGACTTCACTGTAAGATCTTCTGGTAGTTTTTCATTTTTGCAACTATTTGTAGGAACAGAGTTTTCTTTTTTTAGATTTTGTGGAACAACCTGAAGTTGACTTGGCTGCTCCAAGCTGTAGTTGATGATAATTTTGGTTGTCCCATCTTGGTCAACCAAAGGAAGACTGATAGCTGAAATGAGGGAATGGCCAGCTTGTTGTATAGATGCATTGCTGATTGTTTCTTGTTCTTTGGATGCAAGATTAGCATGATTGTTTTCCAATACTTGCCTTATTACATTACCATCCACTGCCACTTTAAGTACATTTTGAATGTCACTTAAGTTGATGCTTATGGGAGACACCAGACCTACTGTTGGTAGAACAACAGCTTGCACCACACCCTGAGGAGAACTGGTTGCCTGCAATGGGCTACCACCACTAAAAACCCCATTCTGCAAAGGGGCTGAACAATTAATTCCTGAAGCAACCACTATGGGCTTGAATTCATAATCCACAGGTTCAGTTTTAATTTGGTTAACAGGAAGTTGCTCTTGCAAGGGTTTATTTTCTATCTTTTGTCGTATCTGTGGCCTTGCTGGGCTACCTGGTGATGCAGAAAGGGAAGGGGAGGAGCACTGAGACGTCTTGAGCCCTGACCGAGCTCGACCATTCACGGGCATCAAACCAATACACTTCTTACTGCTTATGTGTGAACTGTAAGAACCAGAATGGGAAAAACGTTTCTTGCAGTTTGGGCACTCATATGGCTTCTCTCCTAATGATAAAAAAAAAAAAAAAAAAGAAAAAAGGCATATGCAGCAGTTTACTAGATTACAGAGTAAATTGATAAGGAAATAGTAACTAGAGAAGAATATATCAAAATAACCTGTCAAAGAGTCCTAGGGAGAAAAAATAAACCTTATTTGAATAGTAAGAGTAATGACGTCATCTATAGCTCTGATCCTAGGCTCCTTTAATAAGTTTGTGATCCACTAGTAGACATAGGATGGAGTCCACATGATCATGATACATTCCAGTATTTCCCAGTAACTGTCTACATATCATATAAATGAGTCTATACAATACTTGCAGATTTCATTAAACTCCATTCAAGTAGTACCACTATGAACTTCAGAAGCTGCATAAACTACTTCAGAATGGAAAAAAATTAGAATATGATTAACCAAAGAAAAAATAGAAATGCTATAAATGCAAGTCATAATTATTTAAGGAGTCATGCACATTTTATTGTGGCAAACTCAAATACTATACATATATATATATATATGTTCCTACAAGACCCATCAGCTGAATAAAACCAGGAAAAATTTAAGTAAAGGGAAATAAGATACATGCAGAAGACTGATGTATGTTTGCCTTCAGAGACGAATGTCAGGTTAAATTGCCAGGAAGATGCACACCACTATGCAATCATTACACCCATCGCTAGAGCTGGATTTTCAGGGGATCTGTGCTACAGAGGAAAAGGAAAGAGCCGAAATAGCTGGCTTGCTTCAGACTGAAAAGCACTTTGACTGAGGCCTTCTCACTCACTGGCACAGTGCCTCTGAAAATAAAAATATGTTTGCTGAAGAAGGACTTCTAAGTGAGATGCTCTTAATTGCTGTTATCGTGGCTGAGCAACTAGTAAGAAAGGAAAAGATGGCCTAAACCCTTGTTTTCAGACTTTATGTCAATGGGTAAATTTGAGCTGAAGAGAGAAACTGAGAATTTCTTTTGAGTGACCACATTTTAGTTATAATTATATACTAAAATATAACATTATATATTAAATTTCTTACAGATTGGAACTTTTCCTATAAATTTAAACTTTGTGACAATATATCATAATTCCAGACCCACGTCCTGAGTCTATGCTAATATTTTAACATGATATTTTAACAAAATCACAGCCACCGACAGTAGGAAGCACAGTTAATATGTCCCGATTATTATAAATTAAGATTTTCTAGCAAGGCTCCTAACATGCTGAGTGGTCTGCAAACATTGAGGAAAAATAGACAAATGAAAAAGGACCAGAAGGATGCCCCATTTCTTCTGCCACAAGTGAAGTTTTCCTTAACTGTCAGAACTTAAGCTGCAACTGTAAACCCTCGAGTTATCCTACGCATTTTCTGCACACTGCTGAAGGCTGCAGTCAGTGCTTACAGAGTCCCAGAGGAAGAAAAAGGAAAACCCTAGTATTCGAAACTTAGACTTACAAGACTGATATCACATCAAAGTTATAAAGAGTAGAAATGGCAACATTAATACGTAATTCAGTGCTTGGTTCATTTACCACTGTGAATTCGTAGGTGCTCCTTTAGGTGATGTTTATATTTAAAAGCTTTTCCACACTCGGTGCACTTGAATTTTCGATTACCACTGGACTGCGTCACATGTCTCTGTAAGAAAGAATTCATAATTATTGCATACGACAGCATGTTGGAAAAACACCTTGTATTTTCACATTGTAACAGAGAAAATGTAATACAAAACTGAAAAGAATCAATCATAATTTTAAGAGACTGAAGGTGGTATGCGTTATGCATGAAAAAGAAACAAATTAGAAGTCAGGATAAAACTGAGTCATGTGTATCTTCTGAATAAATCTGGTACAGTATAAAAAAAAAGGAAAAAAACCAAAACAAACCAAAACCAAACCCCAAATATATTTGCCCCTTCTCCTAACTTCAGGTGAAGCTCGCACTGACATGTTATGTGAGTAAGCAGTTCCAGGATGCAGGCTAATTCTACTTGTGAAAGCAAAAAAACCAAGAAAAACCCCAAGCCCGCCACGCACAGAGTATGTCACGCAGGACAGAGCAACATTCAAGCACATAAAAGCCTGTTTAAAGTTTAATCAGTTGACTTGATTTTTCCATTTACATGCTTCCAGCGCTTACTGTTGGCCTTGGATTCCTCTATGTAATGATGCCACAGGATTGCTCAAGAGAAGATGGCTCAGTGACAACAAAGGCTCTCTCAGTCACAATTAATTCTCAAAATAAATGCAAAAAACTAAATTAAAATAAATAACAATATTGAGGGATTTCCCAAGTACACAACATCAAACCTCTTCACTATTTGCATTGCAGCTCTGTGGTTATTTTTGTTCTATTTTGCCTTGTGAGAGCACTTATTGTTAAGCTCCAAATTATTTTTAATTTACCTTTATTGTTATACTAGTTTAAGAAAAGCAAAAGCTAAGAAAGGCATGCAAACACATGTAGTATATTTGTGAAATGTATATGCAAAATATGTGATTTTATTACATATAAATCTCTCCATGTGTATTTTTAAAGTCAAAAATTGCATGCATCTTAGAAGTTGGAGCAGCTTAATTACCAACATGAAATGGAGGAATTAGAAATTTTTCCAGTCAAACAAATCATTCATTTAAAAAACCAGCATCTCCTTTTTAAGCAGAGCTCATTTTGCAAAAAAGATAGTCTACCACCATTTGGATGCAGCTGCAGTTTTTCTGGTCACCGGGGCAAGTATTTTCATAAACTCATTAATAGAGCTATTCACAGACTCCGGGGAAACAGCCTGCCTCCGGGCAGCTACCACCAACTGGCTGGCGCGCGGTAACTTCCTCCAGTGCGGAGTGGTGGCGGGGAGCTCCCACACCTGATGCTGGTCCTGCGCGGCCGGCAGTGCTGGGAGCAGGCTGAGGCTGCTCCCCGCGCTCAGACATGGCAGCGGGGACCTGAGGGCTGTGCTGGAGAAGTGGCGATGGATAAAAAGGCAGGATGACGTTCCCCTTCCGATTCGTGCCCTTAGAGTGGAAGAACCCGCAGCCGTGCAGTCTGCTGGATGGAAGTCTGAGCGCTCTGCTATGAGAGATGCTGTCCAAATTACCAACCTTCCCTGTTCTGCACCCTGCCCTCCTTTATAGTACACAGATGCTAACAGGAGACAAGCTTAAACAAGATAATCTAAATTGCTTCCAAGCACCCCAATTCTACAGTTCCCCTGGGACAAGCGTTCGGTTAAGGTGCAGTTTTCACCTCTCAGCAGATACTGCTGCCGTGCTCCTCGGGATGGGCTCCTTGCCGCCTCCTCCCAGGCTCTGCAGTCAGGTCTCCACTCTGACTTGTCCTCATTAGCACTTGACCCTTATTCCCTGGTTTGTCAGCTGTCTTTTGCTAGCCCACATGGCTTCTCAGCTCTGTTTAACTGATGCCCTTGAAGATGATGCTCTAGATGATTGTGCCTGATTCACCGCATTTCACTTTCATGATCCAACTTCCCTGAGTCTAGAGGACCATGTCAGGATTTACTTAAGCCTGCAGAGAATCAGTTACTACTGTTTGACTTGAGATTATACAAGTTAAAGGATCTTAGCATGTATACAGCTACTGCAAATGCTGGACTACATCAATACTGAATATTAGTGCATGTATTCAATCTGTCAGAAATGTTTCTGCACCAGTCTTTAAAATTCAATGCTTTGCTTCCAAGGCATGGAAGCCCACATTTCTCTTATCAAATTTTTAATGAGTTTTCCTGTTTTCTTGGTCATAGTTATAAGCTGATTAGAACTTTCTGCTAAGCAGTGTTTCCATCTGTTTTGCCTTACCTTCTTATATTCGCAGTTCTTTATTCAGCTTTCTTGCTGTCTGTCCTATAGTTTTTTTTTTCATAATCTGAGACATCCTCAGAGTCACTCTCCAGGTTCTTCTTTAAAACTAATTGAGAAACCATAACCGCTCTCTAAAATACCACCTTTGATACCCTTTCACCTTCATTTTCTCAGATTCAAATTGTTTTCCCCCTTTCAGTACTGTTAAATCCTCTTTTTTGTGCCTCTGATGTGTGTTCTATTTTTTAATGCACTGTACATAACTGCTGGTTTTTGCCCATTGAAGAATTAACCGCAGCATTCAAAGAACACTCCTTTGCATTCCTTTCAGGACTGAAAGAAGAAACATCAGCATCAAGGTCTGTAACCAGCCACTAACGCATCCCCGCATCAAATATTCCCTGTGCTTAGGACTAAAGACCACTCTTTTCATAACAGAGAACTGAAACTAATTAATGGGAATTAAACAGGAACTACAGGTACATCAGTGTTTTTTCACAGGCGGTTTGACCGTGGTCTTCAAGAACTTCCACTTGTCAGCAGTGTCCATGGCAATATGAATTTTAACAGACTACCTAAGGGCGCGCTGTAAATTGTTGACAAGAAAAATAAAACAAACATGTTGAAGTACGGTTAAGGGCTTCTTATCTTTTGTGGTGCTTCACAGGTCCCTGGAGGCGTTCAAAAAACATGTAGACGTGGCACTTCAGGATATGGTTTAGCAGGCATGGTGGTGTTGGGTTGATGGTTGGACTTGATGATCTTAGAGGTGTTTTCCAGCCTTAATGATTCTACGCAGCATTGCCTCCTACGCGCCATTAAGCAGCGTAGGAGCAGCCAGGGGAGCCGTGCAGGATGCCATGGTCGGGGAGCAGGGACGGACGAAGCAGGAGGTGTGGGATGGCCCGCAGCTCTCTGCTCACCGCCGGAGCAGAAGGAGCCGCAGTCTGGCATATTGCCCCATCCTCAGAGGGAGGCACAGTGTGCGCACACCTCTTCCACTGCCTTCACCACACTAGAAATTATCTTTGCTTATAGCTTCCTTGTACAGAACGATTATAAAATTGTCACATGCTGGATATTAACCAGCTAACAAAGTTCTCCAAGTAATTTACTTCCAGGTGAAGTCTTTTAAGAATAAGACATTAAGTTTTGAAGATGCAGCTGTTTAAGATCTACACCCAGGAGGTCTATACTTTACTATGGAAAAAAATTAACTTTCCACTACACAAATGATGTAATCATTTACACGCACATGAAGCCAATTTTGAAGACATGACAACACTGTGACATTAACATAGGCAAATATATTTTTCAAATTTACCAGATATCTAAAGTATTGCAGTTTTGATTTTGGCTATGGCTCTAGAGAAAAACCACACTTGAACGGGTGTAATATTGAGTTCCAGATACTTCACAGAAACAACATTTATCAAATACCATTGTGCCTTCAAAAGTATAAGCCCATTAAA